CTTTTTCTATTTTTCGCGCTTACTTATACATAAACTTATGAAGTTTCTTCCTCCTCGGGGGGGGGGGGAAGAAACTTCATAAGTTTATGTATAAGGGGGGGGGGTCGTACCGAACCTCCAAAAAAGGGGGGGGGTCGTACGGGCTCGACCCAACTAATGCTGTGCCCTGATTCGTCGCTATTGACTGCTTGTCAGCTGCACTTCTTTTGGTGCGAAATTCCGTATCGACTGCCCATGCACCTGAACCACATATTGGCTGCCTAGATGAGTTAGACCTTAGGTAGAACTACAAAGGTCAACTACAGAAACATAGTACCATAACCACGTAACAGCAAAACAGGTTATCTTTCAATTTTTTTTTCCTGGCGATCTTTCGGTTCAAGATTTTGTCGAACTTATCGTTGCTGATTTCAGCCTAATGACAGCTTCGAGTTTACGGTGCGCCCTTTAGACGGTGGTAAACCAGTAGTGGATCTTTTCTGGATGTACAGCACGGCGAACGAATCCTGGATAGGGGGCACCGGAGCAGACGGAAGCAAATATAGGTTCACTTATCCACGGTTAGTTGTCATGTAAGGAATGCATTGTCTAAAAGCAAGTTATCAGGTATTTCACCAAAACGTCCGTAGAATGTGGGATAAGTGTTTGATATTCGATTTGCTCATGATAAAAAAAAGCATAGGAGAGCGAGTAAAAAAGAATAGGACCCTGCTTACTCTCAGCGAGAGGTAAAGGTTGACGGGTATTGTTGTACAAGGTTGCATCATTACGGTTCACACAACCTTTCTCACAAAGTGCTTCGTTTCTCACACATGATCATTGCAAACGAGAGGATGTGTGAAATGGTTTGAATTGGATTCAGCCAGGGCGGTCTTTCCCGCCAAAAGTTACCATCACCATCCGTAGAGAAAGGTGCCCTGGCCCTGGCTTCCACACACCCTTCACACACTCAAATCCCATACAGGTTCGCAGCGACATTTAGATTCATAGATTTCTGAAAGGTGAAAACCTTCAAAGAAAGCTCTCCACCACAGCGCTTCTTCGAGAGACCTCTCGAGCTACTTCCCACGTACTCCCGTCACCTATGTGTTCTTTCCTCTAAGGAACCGTATTTTTTTCCGCCAGCATGGCAGAAAGTTTCGACTTCCCTCTCAACTTCAAGTGTGCGTGGGAATTTACGAAACCCTGGTAGTTTAGCCGCCCTACGAATTTCTTCGCTGTTCGAAGCAGTTGCCTGGCCGCCACTTTATGATAAACCAGTCGGATCGCCCGCCTTCGGCGGGCGATCCTCCTTATGCGTGTGAAGTGGGTCCCCGGCCATCCAAACTGAGGCCCAGTCGGATCGCCCGCCTTCGCTACAGAAAATTTTTTTTTGCAATTCCAGAACATTACCGTTTCACATTTCCCTTCCTTCAAATCTCTATCATTGGGGTGCTCCTTCTTATGTGTTATGATGTGTTCTGTGTTGTCTTGTGTTCTTATGTTGAGTTGCTTTCTTGCTTTCTTTTGGACGAGTACTTGTAGAGAGTTCTACTGAAGAGTTATTGGAACATTTTTGATCCACAATGAGGAAAGGGAAATGGAAGGGAGAACAGTGGCGAAGTACGAAATGCAGAGGTATCAAATAAAAGAGAAAACTCTCAACCCAATTCTCATTTCTGTTATGCTTATTCAAAGAGGGGTATTACATGCTGTGTCATCAAATAGAGTAAGAGAGCTCAAAGTTTTCGTGCTGTCAATCGTTACATCTTCATGGAGTTTCTAAGACAGATGTGACTAAGGAGATTATTACTTCTTCCTCGTTAATGAGGCAGAGCTGGCGTTCTGTGGCTGGCTGGTTTATATAACTTACTGATTCTGTTTCTGGAAAAAACATACCCTGGTTTGAACGTTTGGTTCGCCTTTGTAGACCACGGCCAATATTATTAGGTTGGAAGAAAGTAGTGCGCCACTATCGACAATTTAATTCAAAAAAAGAACAAAACACCTTTCAAACATTTTGGTGCCTAATTACTGTAGGGTATTCTCGAAGGTTTAGTGCACAAAGCTGCGAGGGATTTGCGCCAATTTCTGGTACTTCAAATTTCTTTGTTGATCTGGCTACTCTTCGCCCTATTGTGTACTATGAGTTACTACAAAGGAAATGCCGTAGCAGATAAGATCCGTGCTGCATTCAGAGTAACGTCATCCACCGTTCCACGGTGTTTCGCTGGTACGAGCGCTTCGCAGCCGGAGATATTTCGTTCGAACACCGCTGCCCGAAGGAGGTGAATCATGGGCGTTTACTCAACACACTGGACAGAGCCGGTGCAACCAGATGTGGACTTGCAACGATGCTTCGCTGCACCTACATGAGAGTTATCGCCCATCTTCACGATTTCGGTTATCGGGCAATACTTTCGCTATTGGTACCACATGAGTTGCGCTAGTCTGACAGAGTGAACAGAATCAACGACGCAAAATCTTTTCTTGCGCCGCCCACACAGGAAGGACTTTCTGGCGAACATAGTAACTGGTGATGAGAGCTGGGTACTCTACGTAAACCATACGCGCAAGCGCCACTGGATTCCACAAGGAGAGAAGCCGCTCACAGCGGATCTTCATGAGAGGAAGGTGTCCTAGTTGTAGATACTGTGGTGATAACCACCGCTTACTCCAGCCAACTTCGAAGGATGGACGATGTCATTAGCGAAATTCGCTCAGAGAAGGCTGCTGTCTTTTTTCTTCACGACAACGCGTGCTTTCATCTGGCAAAGATGACACGCCAGAAGATAATGGATCTCGGCTGGGAAGTACCACACTGCATACTGCTACTGCGACCCAGCGCCTTCTGATAACCGTTTTTAGAGCTCTGGATGCATCATTTTGACGAACATAGTGATGATCGAAGACAACTCGAAAGTGAGACCGACTGCTTCTTCTTCTCCCAGGAGCTCTGAAAGAGTAGGATTGAGAAGCTGAACAAGCCCGAAAGATGAACACGTGTCCTAGATAATAAGGCTAGCTATCTCGTTGGTTGAAGATGTCGTCCGTCGTAATATAAAAATAAAGGATAAAGTCTTCGCCGTTGATCAATCCCTTTGTGGGATGCGGCACGCATTCTACTTCCATTCAGAATCGTAGTGGCTTATTGAATGCGATGTGATGACTTGCGGGGGCCAGCCGATGTACAAGTGTTCTTATCCTCCCAGACGAATCTGGTACCAATTTACCGTCCCCGGAGGGTAGAAGGCTTGGTTGGCCTGGGCGGGAGTCGACCCGGGATTTGAACCGCGCAGAACCGCGCGCGCGGATGTTAAGCGCCGCCCTTGGTAAACCATGTCCTGTTGACTCACGCAATGGTTGAAGCCTGTCACAGCCGAATTCAAACGAGCGTGCTGCACCGATTGCCTCTCAAGCCACAAGGCACGGAAATTCCGAATTTAGCATGCGGAAGTCAGAACCCACCGGTATCTTTCTTGAAAAATAAAGGTTGGCAGGCCAAGAAGCACATAATCAAGCATAAATACCCCGTTACCTGAAAGGGTTAACCGGCAATGGGCAAGCTATACAACAATATTGGACCTTTCTGTTAGTACCACTCGCTTGTCTGCCCGCTTGATATTTTTCTGCAATATGAACAAGAATTATTATTGCGCTTCCTTCGCCACCAGGCCCCTCTTGAGTGCTTGTCTCAAAATCTTTTCTTCTGCTCACTGATTGCCAGATGCAGCCGACGAATCCAAATAAGTGGATGTGGCATAAACGACGAATGCGCTCAATTATCGGGCAAACCTTCCATTGACGCTAAAGCCAGCAGAAGCGGGAGCCTACAGTTTTGATGACGAAGTGAGGTTTGGGTTACCTGTGAACTCAGCTTGAGGGAGCTGCGGATCGTGAAACTGCTGGATGAAGAAGCTGCTTCCTCGGTCAATCCGTACGGCAAAGCAGCTACGAGATCTCGTGTAATCAGAAAAAAAAATTGTCTGCGCAGTCGCGCCTTCACATAATAGTGACGTACGTCTCTCTATAGAAAAAGCTCAGTTTGAAAAATATGACAGAAACTTTCCCGCCAACCTCATGAAAGTAGCTGGAGGGCTCGAGTAGTACGAAAAGCCAAGAATACTCTGAAGTGTGTATGTTATTTCTCATGCCTCGTCTGTCACATGGGTTTTCCACACCTACGCGATAAACTGTTTTCACGCGATAAACTATTTTTCTCGTGTACAAATTTTAGTGCATGAACTGGTACAATGACGGCCTGTCACTCATACCCGCCTGACAATCCCATGTGATAAAAAATAAAAAGATATTAAGGTTTTGAGCAGGAGGTGGTGTAGTGACAAGTGGCGCGCTCACCACTCGCGCGGTCCTGGGTTCGAATCCCGGGTCGACTCCCGCCCAGGCCAACCAAGCCTTCTACCCTCCGGGGACGGTAAATTGGTACCAGATTCGTCTGGGAGGATAAAACACTGACTTGTACATCGGCTGGCCACCGCAAGTCATTGTATAGGCCACATCGCATTCAATAAGCCACTACGATTCTGAATGGAAGTAGAATGCGTGCCGCATCCCACAAAGGGATTGATCAACGGCGAAGACTTTATCCTTTTCCTTTTATAAAGGTTTTAAGAAGGGAACAAAACAGTCTTACGAATAAGGTATTCTTGAGAACCGAGGCTTAAGTATAACCAACTGATGACTAGCGTGGTGCGGAACTTTAACCTCAGTATTGAGACTCTAGCTCTTAGAAAGAAGAGAATCGACACAGCCTCGCTCTACAAGATTCTCCACTTCTATACTGATGTTGAACCCAACACTCTCTTTACTGACAGAGTCAGTACGACACGTAGCTTGAAAAATCTGAGTGCTCGTGGAACTAAGCAAGCATCACTACCTCTCTACACTAAATAGAGGTCCGTTGTGTAGCTCAACAGGCTCGGTTTCAAAAGTGACCACCCAAACTAAGCGCTTTTAAGGCTGCTTTAGACAAATATCTTACATCATAATACTTTTGCAAGCATCGTTCATCTTAGTAGAATTCACTATATTTCCTTTTCACTTTTGATTCATGATTTCATCGTGGTTCTGATCACAAGGCATTAGGTTCCAGGGCTTCTTTGTTATTTCTGTTTGTTTGATTTGTATGTTGTTTTCATTGGGCCTCTTACAGATGTAATAAACAACAAGGAAAATTGTTTTAAGAGTCGCATGACCTCAGAACCGGCATCCAATCTCTTTCACATCAAAAGTTCGAACAACTTCCTCTGCGTAATTAATATGATCCGGTTCGCTGCGAACGAAGAGACGTGTAACGAAGAATGAGTTTTACGAGCTCTCCACTAGTTGTTGAATGCGAGCAAGTGACAAGGCTGTATCATATCGTTCGTATCACTCGTTTTCTACCAGTTGTTGTCGCATATCCGCTTCAACAACTGGCAGAGAACGGTTTGGCGCCGTGGCACACTCATACTGCCTGACACGCCCCTTCATCCAGCAGCGAACTAGAGTGTATGTCCTCGACGATGTTTTGTTTAGGCCAGCAGGTGAAATAAACAGTAGCTTGCAAAAGGCCAAAATAGTCGAGAGGTCGGAAGGTATACACAATCTAGCTATGCATACACTTTTATACCACCTGAGTTTGGTCTGTGTAATATGTATTTGACAATTACCCATCTCACACTAAATAGTGTGGCATTCGATAATCCGAAAGACTAGCTTCTCATTTCAGGTACACCGAAACATGTGCAGGTGACCTCCTGGGACACATTTTCTGGGTCCCTTGTGATCCAAGGAAAATTGTAGAGGTGAGTAAGATGTAAAGACATGAGTGCAGCGTTTCTGACATGTCATCGATACGATTAGCACATTGACGATAAGTTAAGCCATAGATGGCGCTTAAGCTTTTGCGTCACGTTTTACCTTATTGTTTTACTGTTATCCGTTTACTACTACTTATCTGTTTTAATGCATGTGATTAAGTTTTGAGCTAAATCTCAGCTGACTTAGTATTACTCAATACATCCGCGAAAACTCCGCCTACTGACCAGTAATGGTGAGATCCTTGTTCTTTATTGGAGCTAGCCCCACTTTTTTCCAGCGAAATCGTGCGATTTTGGAACCGGGATTATTTGGCTCACCGATTACAAATGTAGCATTCGTATTTAGTGCAGGTGCTATTTGAGGTCAATATGGGCAAAATCGGCTAAGTTGGAACATGTCACAAAACGGACGGAGCCTCTCACACTGTGAGGAGCTTTCCAATAGCTTTCGGCACGGCTCGTCAATGTGAACAAGATTGAAGAGGGCCGACAAATCGCAAAACTGTTCCAAAAGTGAATGTGGCTATAGGCAGAGCTTAATGTGTCGATAAGGGAATGTCTACAAGCACATTTAAAGTGCGAAGAGTTACCGTGAAGGCGGCAACTTTGAACAAGGTCACAAAAGGTTGAAATTTGCATCACTTTTTTGGAAGTGGCGGAGCCACATTTATGTTGAGACAAACTTCTCCGAGTTACTGCGCATGCGCGAGACAACAAAAGTGCAAAGAGCCGCATAAGCAAAAATTGCGAAAGGATATTTGAAACACCGGGATCCCGCTGGAACGTAGCGTGGCTGAGGAGGGGCGCGTCGGCAGCTCTGAACTGTGTGGTCAGAGCGAGACAATGAGCAGAATGAAATGTTGTCTTTCATGTGCGATTGGCACTGGTGTTGCACCTTTGAACTATTTTGCAGGTTGAGCTTGCTATTCAAAGCCTTTTTCTTCGCCTGTTGTGGCAAATCTATTTCTGTCAAAGCCCTGGTTTATAGAGATAGCGTCGTCATCTCACTTGTTGAAATATCGAATAAGTTTTTGTCTCCCGAAGAAGGTATGCATCAATCGTCAACGAATTGCATGATGCGGAGCGGCGCACTGTTTCATCCGAGGGGACTACTTTCATTGTCTGTAAGGCCACCGTCTTCCTCACAATTTTCCAATTTTGAAGAGCTTCACGCCTTTGTGCATCGAGGTGTCAAAAAATTACTGTTTTATTTCGAACTGGTTTCAAAGAAGTCAGAGACTTCGAAAGCCAAAACAGCCGCGATCGAAAAAAAAGGTCAGCATGAACTGAAACGTCAGAGAGCTTTGACAAATACTAATTATCGGTCATATTCGCGACGTTAAGAAGGTAGCCATTTTGAGGGGTGGTGAACTATACTGGATATCTATTCGCCGATATAAACACATATTCCACTGCTCACGATCAGATCTCAACTTTACTCACAAATGAACATATCAGCGCCGACTTCGAGCTGTTCAGTTTTTGTTGACGGAATGAACATTAGATTGTAGACTGTCTGAGGAGCTACGCGCTTTTACACTAAGCTGAGTGACATTATGTTAAGGCGGTCAAAATGCTCCTTGGACAAGGTCCAAACAAACCGGCTCCAAAGTCGTAGGCGTCAGGCGATTTAACCTAAATGGGCTCGAGATTTGTGCTGCTTCCGTAGCACAAGTCCAGATGACAGTACTCAGGGGGAGGAATTTTGACTGGGGTCTCATCATAATTATGATTGGTGGCAAAGGGTAAGTAATGCTGAGACGTCACCTCTGAAATGATAAAAGCCCTTGTTCATTCTCGGTTTTGCCTTCGCCTTTCACCATGAATCGACTTTCAGTTTAACTTCATCAGGAACAATGGCGGAAGGAGGTACAAGCACACAGCAACATCAAACCTTCAAACTCAAATATCAAGCATTAAAACTTCCGGGACTTTCTCCAAAGTTACGCTCAATCCTATTAAGCCACTCACTCGTGGCTTTCTTGTCCCGCTGGGCATAAAAATTGCCTTCGACGGTCCGACTTGGGCAGCTCTCCCAAAATCTGCGACGAAAACCGATCAATGAACTTCTTGGAAAGGATATGAAATTTCATGGCAATTTTTCAAGGACGTTTCTGTACCCTTATTGAGACAACTCGCCATCTCCTCCCTCGCCTACTTGCCAAGAAAAACATTTATGTGCATTCCATGTTACTTATCATTAGAATTACAAAACAAGAATTAATAGAATGCGATAACATTTCTTCGGAAACGTCTCTGCCGTACTTTACAATTTGGTGATTGTTACACATCTTTATTATATGTTGTCTTAATTGATTAATTTTGCAGCATTATAACTACCATATTATCCTCGAGCCATTCTCCCCACAGATATCAAATTTGAGGATTACTTATTTCCTTATTTAGGCCGAATACGGGCCTACTTGGTATAACGATCATCCAACAACAAACTTTTCGTGGAACGGCTCTCCGTTCAACGTGAAGGATATTGGTAAATGGTCAAAATCAGAAATGCCAGAAGTTTACAAGATCTACACGTAGTGATCATCTTTTACTGCATACATATTTATGCTTTTAACCCATCTTTTCCCTAGAGAAAACAGATTTTTTTCGTTGTTGCTGCCATTTCCGGAGAAAACTTTCACTTGTGCCTAAATGCTTTGCTATGTGGAATTTGCCTTTTTCTGCGAATTGTATTCTCTTAAAAGCGCACCTAACATTCACTAGGTGTTCGGACGCCTTTTTTGGAAACTTCAGTTCCGCCTCGAAATAGGATGGTGCACCAACTTCGCAGATGAGAAATTCGTGAATAAAGAGCCATCAGCTCGCAAAAACCACGGCTCTGCCTAGCGGCCCCGCCTGGCTCTATGTGCCACCTGAATGCGGTTTCTCTACTACTAATTCTCTCAAGTTTGAGCAATGAGAATGAGGTGATAATGCGAAAAGCTGGCATGATCAAGTTGAGAACCAACCCTTCGCCTTATACGTACAAGCGGGATTCTGAGGCTCTATTTTTTCACACTTCGGGTGAATTACAGGTGCTTTTTCTTCACTTTTCTTTACTTATCACCTTGTCACTAATGTTTCACCACAAAACTCACCGCTGGAGCGTACCTTTAAGATTAAGCGATCTTTAGGCTTTTCCGGCTATCACGCAAGGCTATCACGCACCTTAAAGTGAAAGTCATGCATTCGAAAGCACAGCTAGGTCACGACGATTTGAGGAACACAAGAAATTGTCTCGAGTATGAATGATGTGATCTGGTCCGAGCTTACGAGCACCGCTTCGAAAACTGCTGGCCAAGCGTGCCGCTCAAGACTAAGCGATGGTATTTTAGCCCATTGTACACAAAATCTTCCTGCCAAACTTTATTTTGTGTCAATGTTACATCCAACGAGAACAAAGCGCTCAAGTGCAATAAGCAACAGAAGATTTGTACTTATTTAGCACAAGCACCTAGCAAACAGAACAATTCCAGGCGAGCTTTCCGTTGGCATTATGTCGACAAGTGCTTCGGTATATACCGCTGCGTGTATGCGTGCACTCATGCATGCTGCGCGACAGCCAATTTCGATTGGATTTCCTAAATGAAGCAATGCGAACATCAGTATTTACACTCCTGAGACGGAGTAGGCGTGGCATTTGAACATGGCCTAGAATAGGGCGCTCGTGAGAACTTCATGAGTGCCCTTCACCTTGAGACCAGTTTCATCTTTTTTCTTGTGTAGGACGGAGACATGAACACAACAACGATACAATCAAAATATTTTCATCAAAAGCACAATCGCCACCGCGTTCAGTATGAGTACGGAGCCAGGCCTACCCCGTCTCAAGGATTTCCAAAGTATATCGGTTGCCCTTCACGAAACCTATTGGTTGACCTAGGTGCTCCACTACTGGTACGGACTATCCTTTTCATTTGCGCAACATCGTTTCAAAGGATGACTTCACTACATTATGCACATGTGATATCCCAACTCAAAAAAAGAGAAGTCGCGCACAGTGAGAACAGCGAGTGAAATGAGGAGCAAGCAGCTTCCTACAGGATTGGGCGCCCGCGTCGTACCTTAAAAAACGATTTTCTTGTAATAGGTTGTCAGTCGAGTTTCTCTCAATAGGTTAGTAGGTTAGTCAAACGGTTAGTGTCTATGGAATGGGCCGTTATGTGCCTTCAAAAGCAATAATTCCTTCATCGTTTTTTCCTACTTTCCAAGAGAGAGCATAATTTGGGATCCTTTCCCGAGAAAGGTATTTTTGTCAGACACTCTCTGTCACTGCTAGAGCGCTAAAGCTTAAGCGAACAGGCACACACACGCACGCACGCACGCACCACATCGAGCAACCATACACAAACACACTTGCAGACTCAGTGTATTTTACATAGCAGGAGGGTTGCATCTACCGCGTGCTCATCAAACTTGATAACAACTGCCGTGTTGGTGAGCGGTGCAGTGATCTATCCGAGGAGACTGATTTAAGTCTGTGCAAGGCCACGATCTTACTCACAATTTTCGAAGAATACTGGTTTCTAATGGCCGGAGCGAATCACATGTTTTCTTTCTGGAATCCGAAAAGCAGAGACGCTCGCACGTAGAAGAGCAGTCCGTGCCAAAACGTGACACCGCGAAGGAACGCTTCGCAGAGCTGCTGAAAACTCTCAAATGAAAAGGTCCAATGTCATTCTGATGATAGGTCATCGTCAGTCGGCTCGCCGGCCAACGCCGGCGCGCTTTCTTCTGATACGGCCCGGCTGCTTACGGCTTTTCTGCTTACGGATTTGATACGGCTTTTCATTACATTGTTATTCCTAGCCGATTGATATCGCAACATTATAATTAACATATTAATCTATTATTATTATATTAATATTTTAAATAAAATAAATAAATAAATAAATAAATCATAAATGATGCATATGATTTCAACACCCGTGTTTGGATCCTTTCGTAATTCTGTAAGAGAGTGTCGCTCACCATTGGGAGAGCCCTCCTACCTTTATACGGCATCCTTCTCACTTCGGGTCTCCTTCTGGTTGCCGACGGTTTGCGTGAAGCTAGCGTGAGAGAGAGAGAGAGAGAGAGAGAGAGAGAGAGAGAGAGAGGAGAAGGTCAGAGTGCGATGCGCATGACTCATCTCACCGACAATACTTAAGGTTCGCGCTGAACGCCAACGAGAGATCTGCCGAGACGCCATCCGAAGACTTCTGCTGCCTGCTCCGACGTCCACGTCTGCTGCGCCGTTTCCTTGCTGCGGCTGTCGACGCAATCAACTTCCCGTCATCGATGGTTTCCGCTTCATCCTGACTTCCAGCCACGGTGCGAATCCCTATTGATTCCAACCTGATGCTCCTCACTGTGTGCTATATAAATGTACCACGCTGAGAAACTGTATCTCAGGGCAACGCTTAGTGGAATCCGCGAGCGTGCAAGCTCCTATTAGCTTGGCCAAGTCGTGTAGTTTAACACTTTCGAATAGATTAAAGGCACATTCCGCGATATAAATAAGCTAGGCTTCTGCAAATGTATCGACGAACATCCAGAAGACGATTTTTGAGGACCTGTGCTCCTTTAACATGTGAAAACACGCAAGAACATGTTCGCTAGAGAGCTGGACTAAATTAGGCCCATGGACACCCCTTAGGCCCATGCCGACCCTCACCGGCTGCTAGCTACTAGGTAGTAGCCACTATGTTATCTTTCTCTATAACATTTCGGACTGCTTTTTCTGCTGCTTTTCTCCGCTAATCAGATACTTAGCACTTTTTGTGCCTATTTGAGTTCCGTTTCTCCAAGGCAAATTGCGGTAGCGAACGGTGCCTTTTAAAGGCACAAAATCCTTAACAGAGCAATCGGCAGCGTCCAGCCTTCGCGACGGCAGCGCTTCGGTCACGCGTTCGACGCGACCGATGTAGACGAAACCATGCGCATCGATCGCGTCGAACGCACGACCAAAGCGCTGCCGTCGCGAAGTCTGAACGCTGCCTAAGCAGATGAAAACGAGAGCGCTTATGCAGCTCGTGTGTGAAGATGAAGTGCTAAAGGACTGAAAAACAACTAAACGCTTCTCCATCTCCCCTCGAAAGCCGCGCATTTCCAGCGAACATGAGACCAAAAACGGCCTCAGCGTCCCATTCGTTGATTGGAAGCTTTTTTATTTAATTGGACAGCGAATCGCCCCGTGAACGGCCAAAAAATCTTACTCGAGCTTTTAATGCAATTTACATTCATTTAAATTCTTCATCTTACTTTTTATTGGCGATTTGGAGATTAGTGCTCTCACATTTCCTAGCATTGTTCATCGAATCTGTATTCAGGGTTCAGCATGAGCAACGTCCATCAAAATCGTCATGCCGCATCAGTTCACGTTTTCATCGTGCTCGAAAGCGCAAATTACAAGATTTGGCAAATTTCCAGGAGCTCCGGCCGCGACCCGCACCGAAACCACCGATAGACGGTTGATAAGAGGGGGGATAGTACGTTAGCGGGGTGCAGCGTGTCTGCGCCGCAACTTGCCTTTTAGGCGAAGTATGGACGAATTAGTCCACCCCACGGTCCTGGATGCCCATCCTCTCGCATGTCAGGAAACCGCCACACTTCGTCAGCTTTCGGGCCCGTTAGTCCCGGACGGGTGCCGAGGACGCTCCTCGCCGTTGTGTCCTTAGAGAGGTTTTTTCATGCTCAGGATCCCGTAGCGATCAAACCGTGCATTTTCGTGCTGAACGGGTATATCCTTCTCGGGAGGGTGAGGTAGGGAGGGGGGACTTGCCACTGGAAAGCAATTCACAATAAATAGGATATTCCGGTCAACATATCGACCAGGAAGCTATATGGTCATTCACCGTTATCCCATTTTGATTTCACTGATCAATTTTTCAAAAAAAAAACCATGTCACCATAGCATAACATTGGGGCACGAGCAGAAGCTCTCTCTGGAGACGGCAAAAACAGCGAAAAAACGCCAGAAGAAGGTGGATTTGGTGTACAAAATTACACATCAAAAATGATCACTACATGAAATTCTTTAAATTTCAGCCGTTTCAGACCTGACCATCTACTGTTCTTCTGCACGCTGAACGGCGAGCGGTTCCATGTAAAGTCTGCTGATGGATGACCGATATACTATTTCGGAACGTAATCGTCTAAGAGTCTTCTTCGATACCGGACGGTGAGCGGTCGGTTCACTCCACTCTCTCCGAACCGACGTCTTCTTCGACTCGCCTCGTCAGCATAGAAGATACTCCTTGGCCCAGGAAGCACTGGAACGGCCGGGTCAAGTATGTTCCACCCTCTATTCAATTCCATTCACTTCGCCACACTTAATGTTAGAAGACTTTCAAACAGAGAACGACTCGTCGAACTTCAAGAAGGACTCGGAAGAACATTTTTGGACATCCTCGCAGTTACGGAGCTACGATGGAAAGGAACAGGGAGTATAGACCTCGAAGACTCAGATTATAAATTCTTCCATGCTGGGCCTGAAGACACACAAGGACCATCTGGAACCGGTTTTTTCGTGAGTCGCCGCCTTCTTCCTTTCGT